AGGTCTGAATGTAGATTACACAATTATTAGCACAGTAACTTTCACCCGTTTCACACAAGTGACATAAAAAACCCAATAAGGCAAGAACATGAAGTTTAAAACATATGAAGTTGTATGAGTGACTGATATTTCACAAACAGACTTCCAGCATAGTCATCCCTAATTCCTAATAGCATTCTGGTTAGTTCATTTAGCCATCTTGATATGAAAACGTGCACGCAGACATTAAGCCCGTTAAAAAAAAAAAAAAAAACCCTCCCAATAAATGCGATTACCGCTAATTCTTTGATTGTAATACTTATCTTTTCCCCAACCTCATATTGCACAAAACCCGCATCTTCAATAAGCCATAGACACAAGTTTGTCAATTTCTGGCATTTCGTTTTACACATCTTGCAATAGATGTAATATAAACAACACGCAAGTGCAAGAACGAGATAAAAGTGGAGGACATAAGTACTAAGTGCAGCATTCCCAGTTAGATAATCTAACAAAACATGCGAAAGGCAGAAAACTTCGGGTTGAGTCAAATGATGAAGTTCCAATTCCCAAATCGAAAGGTGCCAAAATAAACACTGAAGATGCTCGCTGACAGTAACTTTCACCCGTTTCACACAAGTGACATAAAAAACCCAATAAGGCAAGAACATGAAGTTAAAACATATGAAGTTGTATGAGTGACTGATATTTCACAAACAGACTTCCAGCATAGTCATCCCTAATTCCTAATAGCATTCTGGTTAGTTCATTTAGCCATCTTGATATGAAAACGTGCACGCAGACAATTAAGCCCGTTAAAAAAAAAAAAAAAAACCCTCCCAATAAATGCGATTACCGCTAATTCTTTGATTGTAATACTTATCTTTTCCCCCAACCTCATATTGCACAAAACCCGCATCTTCCAATAAGCCATAGACACAGTTTGTCAATTTCTGGCATTTCGTTTTACACATCTTGCAATAGATGTAATATAAACAAACACGCAAGTGCAAGAACGAGATAAAAGTGGAGGACATAAGTACTAAGTGCAGCATTCCCAGTTAGATAATCTAACAAAAACATGCGAAAGGCAGAAACTTCGGGTTGAGTCAAATGATGAAGTTCCAATATCCCAAATCGAAAGTGCCCAAAATAAAACACTGAAGATGCTCGCTGATTTTGGTTCATGGCCGGCGAATATGCATGTTCAATTTTAGACATCAAAATTGAAAACAATGAATTTAAAAGTAGTTCACAGATCCAAGGAAGTATGATATTCAAAGAGAAACACTGGAAGCACTCACGAAATGGAGGCGACGAGTCCGAATACGAAGATTGGTTCTGAGATCAATGAAGAGGAGGGCGAAAGCAGCAGCAGCGACGACGACACATGGATTCGGGGAGGAGCGACAAAACTCTTCTTCAGTCGACGAGATTGTCACCGGGCCACATGGGCTTAAGCCCCAACTTGTTTAGACAAAATACTGGACCCGTTTTCATTTATTTTAAAAACATATTGAATTATCTTTAGCCCAGTCACTTTTTTTCTTGCAATAATATTGCGCGAACTTTAAAAATTAAATTGTAGCTCCAAATAATATTTCTTATTAATTGAAGTGGTATCTTGTTATCAAAAAATGAAATTCACAATAAAGCCATTTTTCTAAAGTTTAAAATATTTTAAAATTTTTTTGTTCCTAGTGATGTTAAGAAATAAATCAAGATGGTGTTAAGAATTTTTTTAAGAAAAATATAATGAAGTATCTTAAACATTAAAAAAAAAATCAATATGCAAGCTTTTCTAATGTAATTAAAAAAATTCTATTATAAGCGAATGATAAATCTTGTCACTAACTTTTTTTTTTATATAGTAGTATCATATTCTTTTTTATTACCATAGAAAAAATGGCCGTCGCTGTCTATCCTCTTTTTGTCCTCACCTAGGCGGTAGCATTTTCATTCTCCAAAGTTCAAACGGTCATGGGCTGCCGAAGAGGAACGTGGCCTCGTGCACGTGACAGGCTGTTCATCACCGAATGGGCCCCGCCCCCATTTATCCATTTTTTACGCTTTTCGTTGACGCTAATTCTAACGGACAAATGGTTCTTCCTCTTCCTCCCTTTTTATCTGAAAAAAATTAATTATCCTTGTTTTATAATGTATAACCTCTCAATTCAAAAGACAAAAAAAAAGTGTAGCCTCAAACGTCTCTATTGTTTGGTGAAAAAAAAGAGTCTCTATTGAAACTTCTTTTTACTTTTTTTAAATGTGAAGTTGTAGTGCTTTTTTTTCCCATGAGAGGTGTAAATTATCTGTATAAAATACACTGGTGTTTGGTACTAGTATCGTCGATTTAATTAGGTAATTTTTTAATATTGTTTTTTCTTATCCAAACAATTTCAACCTTTACAACCTCCAATTTCTTGGCAAAATAGCCTCCTCCTCTTGTAGCCTTTTAACAAAAGAATAATTTTATGAATATTAAAAAAATACAGAGAATTCAAGAAACAAAGACAAAAACAAGCAACAAAACAAACTAAACAGCCTTAAAAAAAACATAAAAACCAAGGTGTCTTCAAGAGACAAAAAAGGTCATTCAATTTCCATTCAGTCCTGACCTATCTCTATGGTTGAATTTCTGATAAGCTTTCTAGTACTGTCCATTGAATTATCATTTAAATCAGCCATTAAAATGTCATATAGGCGAGATGATGTTGTCATAAACCATCCATTAGATATCATTTTACTCCTTTCAGCAGCTGCAAAAAAAAATACACAGCATAGTTTCCATGTATAACAACCAAAAAAATTTGTAAATTTGGCCTTAAATAAGTTAAATAAAATTTTTTAGAGATTATAAAGACGCTTTACCATTCAATTTTATCTAGAGGTTTATCAGAGATAACGGTTTAAAGTTCCTCACAATCCATCTCTATATTAACATTATAATTGTGGCAACAACCAGATAAGTTAAGAGCACATTTCAAAGAAAAACATTCAGGTTTAAAAGGGGTAGAAACCTTGACTTTTTTTGCAAATACCACTCAAAAGGCCTTTTGTAGCCTAGTTATCTGTAGTTTTTATTCATCAGAATTTCAAGTCATCACAGGTCACCTCTTAAGTCGAAAGAAAAGAGATAAAGGAAAAATTTTGATAAGTTAGATCTAAAAAATTAAAAAAAATTGAAATTAAATATATCATCTTTTTGTTAAAATTTTATAACTCCGCCTCTCTAGTTTTTAAATCAAACTTTTTAAATTTTTTTCTCTCATCTCTTTTATTCTTCTCATACCAAACACATTGCAAAACAATAATTAAACTAACTATACCCACACCAAGTTCTTCATGATCATTATGTCCAGTTCTCTAATCATAAACAACCATGCGTTTTATTTTTGAAATAATATCATTTAATTATGAATTCACAGGAATAAACTAAAACACATAACCATATATGATTGGAAACCAATAAATATAAGTTTCCTAATTAAATCTATATCATGGGATGGGCAGCGAAAATCCATATAATTGGGCATTTGGCATAAAAACGGTATTGAATTTGATCTTCAAATCAGCAGCCACGTTTATTTTGCACAAGTTAATGATTCCCTCCACAGCAGGGTTGAAGCAATAATAAATTAATATTAACTCTTATATTAAGGGTTGGATGTAATAATATTTTAATCAGGATTCTAGGAGGGAGTAGATACAATTATGGATTTCACTCAAATAATAAAGTTTAAAACTTATGAAGTGAAACGTTGACTAAATTTCCCCTTCACGAATGTTGACTTTCAACAGAACTATTCATTCATTGTCCATAAATGATTAATCGAATCAGCGAGTGTTCAGTGAATCATGTCAGATTCAAATTCACCTGGGCTCAAATGAAAACAGTTTTTCCAATGTTTTTCTGCATTCATATAGCTTAAAATCGAAGCATTGTCTAAGTATTACATTGAAAAAGAAAAGGCTATTTTCTATTAAATGATGGTTACACGCTAATTTATTAGAGACATGAAAAAAAGAAGAAGAAGAAACACAACAGACAGAGAGGTTTTAAAAAAACTGCTTAAAAATAAGATGTAAATATTAGTTCTGACAATATAAATGTGAAAGGTTGCAGGTTCATATAGAAACTTAAATGATTAATTTGCAACTGAAATTATTGTATCTGTAACTGTTTAAACCCATGTCTGCAACACATTCTATAATATTTTGTTGAGGCTTATATGTCACTCTTAAACTAGGACGAAAACGATGGAAGAAAAATTGAAAAAAAAGGAGAGGTAAAGTTAAATTTTTGTTGTTTATTATTTTCTGGTAATTTGAACATGATGATCCGCTAAGAAATTCTAAATTAGGACGAAAATGACATAGATGGTAGCCTTTCATCAAATTATTCTTCCTAAATTGTTTTTGGCCAAATACTTTATCAAATCATTAATGCAATGCAAAATGGCTCAACAACCCCAGTACAGTACGAGAAAATTAATGTTGCGAGCTATAAACATCGCCCTGCTATAAATGTCACCATGAACCAATGCCTCGGTAAATTGATTAGCCCAGTGCGCCAAGATTTTCAGCTTCACAATCTTGCTAATCAAAAAGCATCACGCAAATACCCATCAAATTAACTGTAAATTAAGACCGAATGCAAATCACAAATTGACCACTCACCGGGAATATGATGGCATTCATGCAATTTCGTGGAAAATCATTGGACACTTGATTAAGGGTGGGGAAAGAAACAAACAAAAAGAATATTTTTTTTGTTATGTATCGTCGGGAGTCAGTCCTCAGTGACAACCTGTCCTGTTCCTCGCAGTTCTGCAACCAGATTTGTTATATCTCGGGGAGTCATTTTCTTCTGTAACACACTGCTCTTCTCCTTCTCAGTTTTGCACATTAAACGACGTTCTGGACTTCGTCTTCTATATCTGTATGGTTCAGGGCGCCAGGTCCACTCAACTTGCCCTGTTTTATCCTCTGAGACAAACCGAAGCCATTAATGACAACCATGCCATTTCTCTCATTCTCTGGCATTTATTTCCTCGCCATTCTTCTTAGTACGACCTTTTAAACCGCCACACTTATCGCCTCTGCCATTATTTCACAAGCAAATTTTCTCATCAAAACGAAGCCGCGGTGTCTGATGCCGAGTCCCACATCCCAAGGACTTGTCTCCTATATCCTCTGCATTGATCTTTGATCGATATTTAGATATTAGATTAATTGCTTGTCGTGTTCACGCCACCGCGTTCTTCTTTATGAGTCTATGATTAATGAGTTTGTCCGAGCACAAGGCATCATTCAGCAATCTGCGAAATTTCTCCCTGTCTTTGCCATTTCGGGGAAGTTTGGGCCCTGTTTAATCTGTGGCCTACAATCTACGAGGCTCTAAAAAGAACAAGAAGCGTGTAAGGAGCAGCGAGCAGGTGCTGCACTATCCGACGTAGTTATTGGAGCCGGAGAAGCTTCTTCTTTGGTTTTTGTCTGTAGAACTAAATAGAGGGTACAGTCTTCAGTGCATTCTAAATTTGAGGCTTCCCTATTCCCTAAAAGGATCTTCTTTCGAGTCTCTTCACACATTCATGTGAGTTGTCTTTTCTTCCCTTGAACTTAGCAGCTCATAACCTCTACTAATTTTCATGTTCAAATTCGTGAAATTTGGTGCCTGATGCCACAAGCTGATCCAATGAGACGTTTGCACATTTGTTTTCCGGTTCTTTTGTGGATTTTGTCTATTCCAAGTACCCATGAACTACAAGTTGCCCAGACCCAAGTCTTACTACAGACGAGGATGTATTTAGAGTATCCCGCCTCGTTGCAAAGTTGGGGAAGTTATAATGGGGACCTCTGTAACCTTTCTTCTTCTGCACATGTGAGCATTAAATGTCAAGATAACTCTGTATCTGAGCTTAAAATTAGGGGAGGCAAAACTGCGAAGTCCGATGAGTTCAAGGGGTTTGCAATTCCCAATCAAACGCTGTCGACGAACTTCTCTATTGATTCTTTTATCACTGCATTAACGAGGTTGACCAGCTTAAGGGTTCTTAGCCTGGTGTCCTTGGGAATCTGGGGTCATCTTCCGGATAAGATTCACCGATTATCTCTGCTCGAAGTTCTGGACTTAAGCTCGAATTTCTTATTCGGTTCTATCCCGCCGAAAATTTCCACAATGGTACAGCTCAATACATTGAAAATCGATGACAATTATTTCAACGATTCAATGCCCGACTGGTTCGATTCATTGTCGAATCTAAATGTCTTGAGTTTGAAAACCAACACCTTGCGGGGTTCATTCCCCTCATCATTGTGCAAAATTAAGAACCTCACCGATATTTCTTTGTCTCGCAATGAGCTATCTGGTAAATTACCTGATTTGAGCGCTCTCACTGGCCTACGTGTACTGAATTTAAGAGAAAACCGTTTAGGTTCTAAACTGCCATTGATGCCCGCAGGAGTGGTCACAGTTCTGCTAAGTAATAACTCATTTTCTGGCGAGATACCGAAGCAGTTCAGTGAATTGGGTCGGCTTCAACATCTAGATCTCTCGGCAAATCATCTGAGTGGAATACCTCCATCTTTCTTGTTCTCATTGCCAAGCATCAGCTATTTGAATTTGGGTAGCAATGTGCTGAGCGGGTCACTTCCAGATAAACTAAGTTGTAGCAGCAAACTTGGTTTTGTGGACATTTCTAGTAACAAATTAATTGGTGAACTTCCTTCTTGCTTGGCCAATACGTCCAATAGAAGAGTTGTCAAATATGATGGAAATTGTTTAACTCTCGATTCTCAAGATCAGCAGCCAGGTTCTTATTGTGAAGAATCCAATACGGAGAGGAAGAAATCGATGGCGCGGAAAATAACGTTAGCAGGGGCCATCCTTATTGGACTTGTTCTTGTCCTTGGGATTTCGGTATTAGGAGTTTTCTTTTGTAGAAAATGTCTGAGGAGAAGGGCAGCTAAGCATCATTTGTTGCCAAAGAACGCGCAAGATAATTCCACTACAGGGTTTTCATCTCAATTCCTCGCAAATGCCAGTAAGTATGCTAGTTAAAGAACAAGGTTCTATTGTTCGATCTTAATATAGTAAACTTAGCGAGTCTTCAAGTCTGTAGTTTTTTATTGGATATGCACTTCTGAAATAGTTAATGTTCTGTTTTCAATTTCTTTAAGGGTTCATTTCTCAGGCAGTGAAGCTAGGGGCACAAGCTACATCAATCTGTCGACCAATTTCAGTTGAAGAATTGAGGGAAGCCACAAGAGACTTTGACTTGTCAGCTTTTATTAGTGAAGGCTCCTTAGGAAAGGTACCCTTCAGACTTAAAACGTTACTTTAACTGTTCTTTTTTCCCTGGTCTCCAATTCTGTGTGATTTCCGCATTTCAGCTATACAAAGGAAAACTAGAGAATGGATCCTACGTGGCAATACGATCTTTAGTTCTGTCAGAGAAATGCTCAATTCAAAATCTTAAAGCTCGGTTGGATTCATTCTCAAAGCTTCAACATCCAAATTTGGTCAGCCTATTGGGTTATTGTATTGATAATAGTGAACAAGATGATTCAACCACCTACAAACTTCATCTTGTATATGAGTATGTGCTCAATGGGAGTTACCGAGCCTATCTGTCAGGTTGGTGTGGCATCATAGTGTATAGTTGAGAGCTTAAAATATCACCATTTGTTGCTTTCTTCGAGACATCATATCTTGTTTCTTTTATCTGGAATTGCAATTATACAGAACTCCCTACTCAGGATGAAACTACAGAGAACTCGTGTCCAGTTTTTTTAGCCCCTCTTTATATGACCGATTTAATCTCGAAGTTCTAGACCCACTAATCTAGCTTTATTTATACCTGCAGAGTTTTCTCTAGAGAAGCCGCTCAAGTGGTCTGATAGATTGGCAATTTTAATTGGGGTTGCCAAGGCTGTGCACTTTTTACATACTGGGGTTATTCCAGGTTGTTTTAACAACCGATTGAAGACAGACAATATTTTGCTTGATGAGCATCGCTTTCCCAAGTTAAGCGACTATGGAATGTCCATCCTCGGAGAAGAGATTGAAAGGTTTGAGGTATGTTTGCTCGCTATTGAACTCAGCTGTTTGACCTATATGCAATATGAATGATTATTAGTGACTCGTTTCTTTCTAATTATTGGACAGGCAAAGAGACAGGACTCAAAATCATGGTATGGATGCTGATAGTAGCTTATTTTACTACCAGTTACTGCTTATAACTGGATTTTAAATTTGCACTCCCCTATTGCCCTCTTTATGCATTGAACTCATATCCTGTTCTCACAGCCACAACCATAGCCGTTGCTATATTAGTTGTCTTAACATGTTGGCCGTTCTACTCTTTATGAAAAGTAGAATGCTGAATGTCTTGCATATAGTTTAAAATCCTTTTTCTTCAATGACATATTGGATGGTTTGGTTCTATTTGTGTTGTTGATCAGTGACCAACAAATCATTCTGCCCAACTGTTCTTGCAGCCAAAGGGCAGATTTGAGGATGATGTTTATAACTTCGGGTTCATATTACTTGAATCACTTGTTGGACCTATAGCAAGCGGACAAGGGGAAGCGTTTTTTTCTGAATGAGAAGGTAACAGGAAAACTTATGGAAACCTGTGTCTCGTTGAACATATTAAATGGCTGGGTAGTCTTGTACTGTGAAATTTTCATATTCTTCAATCTTTGCTATAATGAGGCTTCCAGTTCTTTCTAAAGTTTCATCCCGACCTTTAACGTTCAATTCTGGTCAAAGTCCTGAGAATTCACGAGTTTTAAATTTCTTGGATGAATGACAAAATGCAGAAGTTTTGGGATACTGATTTGTTTATGTGAACAACAGGCATCCTTCGGAAGTCAAGATGGCAGAAGGAAAATTGTGGATCCCATAGTGTTGACATCTAGCTCTCAAGAGTCATTATCAATCGCAATAGCGATAACAACCAAATGCATATCTCCAGAACTTTCCTCTCGCCCCTCATTCGAGGATGTCCTGTGGAACTTACAGTATGCAGCTCAAGTGCAGGCCACAGCAGATGCAGACCAGAATTCAGAATCTACATCAGAATCTCAAGATTATAGGAGGGACAAATCCTGGGATTCAATTGGTTCACATCCTTCTCCGACAAAGCAGATTATTAAACCCCAGAATCATCGTAGGATCCATAAGTAACTGCAGTGTCAGATTGCAACAACAGATGTAAAGTTGCAGATGTTGTTTTTTCATGTCTCTATAGAGTTTTGATAAGGTAGAGGTAGAAGGGATTGATATTCTTTATAGAATCAGGAACAAGAGTTCAAATTCAGGACATTAAAGCAAGTCATGAACTTTTATAACCGCCGCCAGCATGAGGTCGTGACGAAATAAAGTTAGCGGTTACTTTTCTGATTAACAGCTTCTTGTGCCAACTTCTAGCAGGAACTTGTCTGTCCTTTTATTTGTAAATAAAGAAGAGTTATCAGATTAGAGGGGCAGAGGGAATATCTCATTGCTGAACTGAAACAAAAAGGAGAGGGAAGGAGGAGCGTCAAATCCCACTTCAAGGACAGACAAATCTATGGCTTTATCTTGGCAAAAAATAAAATGTATAACGTAAAAGCAAAGAAAAATATCATATATTTAAGGTATACTTTAGTCAGTCGTGATCTTGAAGTGGACAGCGCAACCGATGACATTATCCGCTTTGGAGAATGAAGTTAAGATTATTATGCCAAAAAATAAAATGGATTTGCAAGCTGAGCTTTACAAGGTAAACTAGTTAACCGCACATTGGTCTTGTACTATTATGATGGAGACTGGTGCACCCAACCTTGTAAGGAGTGTTAGGTGACAAATAGCACATAAGCTATGCTTTAGCCCCTTTCGTGCTTTGATTGCTACACACTCACATCAAATTGAAATTCAGGTCACTTGAAATTCCAACTAGAGCAGGGAGCTATACATGCTTCTAATTTCTATAGATTTTCCCCCTTTTCTTGTGGGTGATGTTTTGAAGATCTCAACCTAACCATCAAAACAAGTTTGATGTTGCTTTTCTTGAAGGGATGGCCTGCTTGATTTAAATCCTGCAGTCTGAAATTGCAGACCACTCTATTAACATGCTTTAAGCGAGCGAAATTAGCTCTTACATTGGACACAACTAAACAAATCTCTTTCTTGTGTATCCCTTTTTTGCCCACCACGACATAGCCAAACAAATACAAATCTCACAGAACTAAATCTTTGATTAGATGAAAAAAAAAATTGGCCGAAAAGAAAACGTTAAAAAATGGGAAGACGGAAAAAATAAAACCGTTGGCTAAATTCGTAATCTTGCACACGAGTATAGAGATTTGAGAACGCCCTAACTTAATTCAGGCAACCTCTGTTTCAGAACATCGTTTTTGATCCCTCTGATTTTACAAACATTTCAATTGAAACTCCTGCAATTACTTTCTATTTGTTTTACTGACGCCGTAATGTAACCATGGCACCAAGCCACTAACCCTAGATTCCCATGAAGTCAGCTTTTCTTTACTTTCTCTGTTTTCTTGGCTGTATTGAGTTGTTTGGAAGCATCCAAAAGTATTTCAAAAGTATTTTTTCGCAAAACGAAACAAATTCCTCTACATATTTACTTCGTATATTGTAAAAATATTTTTAAAATCATGGTTTAGTTTTCATCTAAATACCCCGTATTTAATAATTGTTTACTAATATTAAGAAGATACATTATTGAACTGAATTGGAGTACGGACACTGAATTGAAACTCGAACATTTACCTGAAGCCATATACCTAGGCATTGTGCTTCAAACTTCGAAACGGACAAGAGAAATAATGATATAAGGACAATATGCATGTGAGAACCATGGCGAGAAGAGCCAGCCCCTGACACATTCGAAAAAGAAAGGAGGTCAGGGTGCAAATGCACACCACTATCCCTAAATTCTCAATCCATTTTCTTGGGACTATGTCCATAAATTTTGTTTTGGCTACTTAGTACAATTGTCATGAAAATTTAACACTGATGATACAAAATAATAAATTACCGTGTTCAGCTTGTAATTTATATTCACCGTCATCTTTTTTATTTATTTTTATTTAATTCCGTTTTTAATATTTTATTGTATTTTTGGGGAGGCATAACATCGTCAGTCATCTTTCACTGTCAGCTTGTGAGTCCCACAGACTCAGATATCTTGGAGTCTCAGAAACGAGGACCCATTTCGGAGTCATGACAACGAACTTCTCCAGCTAGTTTTTGCCGCTTTGTCAGTCCTACCACTTCCACCCACTACTTTTTCCGGTAAGCTTACCTTAAGCTAAATCTGCCTCTTGTTATGTTTTACGCCTTTTTTTGGTTTTTAAATGCATTTGTGTTCATGTGTTTATTATTTAACTTGCAAGTAAGTTCATGAAATTTTTGCTTACTTTAAGCTTCAACTTGCATGGTTCTTTTTCTTGGTCAAAAAAAAAAAAAAAAAAACTTGCATGGTTCTTTTAATGGATTTTCTGACGCACTCCGCCTCGGTGGATCTGATGTTTCTTACTTTGGTTATGAGGACTAGCAGGTGAGAATTTTCTGCATTTGTATGTTAGTCCAGCTCGTAAACAAACTCTGTTTATATGCTCAATGCAATCATTTTCTGAAAGGCGGGAGGTTTTGTCCTGACTTCATTTTCAACTTTCAAATAGTATGTGTAGTGGCTTCAGTGTCCAAGTCTTAGATATATTCTCAAATGCTGCGTCTTGCTTAGCCAACTCACTGTAGAGCTCTCTTGACTCTCACGGTTTCTCATCCCTTTCTTCTCATCTTGAGTCAGCTGAAGCACACTCACAGTCAGAGACGAAAGGTAAGGGCCAAATAGATTTTTTCCCTTAATGATTCCATAGGAATACGATCTCAATTTTCTCATTCTCTGTATTGCATTCTCCTGATTTCTGACTTCTATTATCTTTAAAACGTAATCGTCCATCCTAATTTCCTGCACTTAATCTGTTGCACTTCAGAGGGCTTGTGATTTCACACATCTCACAACATTGAGGTTTGAAGTGATTAATTCATCAGTACAGGAGTCATCATATCTGCAGCAATGGTTCTAGGCTTGAAAGGAAAGAACAGGAGAAGTACCACTGTTCAAATTGATTACCTTGTTCATATACAGGAGATCAAACCTTGGCCCCCTACTCAATCCCTCAGATCTCTTCGTTCTGTATTAATTCAATGGGGGAATGGTGGACGCAGTTCAGGTTCTACCAATGTTGTTGTCCCCTCTCTTGGTTCTGTTATCGGTGAAGGAAAAATTGAATTTAATGAGTCATTTAATCTTCCTGTTACTCTGTTGAGGGATATGTCTGTCAGAGGCGGTAATGCTGATGTATTCCAAAAGAATTGTTTGGAGTTCAACTTGTATGAGCCTCGAAGAGATAAGGCTGTTAAAGGTCAGTTGTTGGGAACTGCGCTCATAGATTTGGCAGATTATGGTATGCTCAAAGAGACGTTGAGCATTAGTGCTCCATTGAACTGCAAGAGAAACTTCAGAAACACAGATCAACCACTTTTGTTCATTAAAATTCAGCCTATTGAAAAAGATCACAATAGCTCGTCCTTAAAGGATAGGTTTTCAAAAGCTGTGTCGAAGGGAAAAAGTGTTGGTGACTCTGTCTTGGAATTGATGAATGAAGAATACACTGAGGAGGCTGAGATTGCCTCTTTTACTGATGATGATATTTCCTCACATTCATCTGTGGCTGCAGTTACTCCTGCCCTTGAGTCCAATGGAAACATAACTCCTGAACTTCAAGAGGTACCTTTGTTTTCTTCCATTCCTTCCTCGTATTGACTGAAGCGTCCACTCTACCTTTTTGTAACTGTGTTAAGATTAATGTGCGTGACTATTTATTTGCAAAGGCCTAGTCTTGTGAAAGATAGAACATGACCAATTAAAGAGATAGAGAGGAAAAAAGGGGATCTTTCACTTGGGGCTTGTTGGTCACTTTTGACGAGCAAACGTTTTTAAAAAGGCATTTTTTTGCCGTAGTTTTTTAAAAGGCATTTTACAGTGCAGATTTATGTTCTATGTGTACTCATGCAATCACTAGTAACATCCGTTGGAGAGGGATTAGAGACCACTAATGCATGAAAGCATCTTTGTTCTTCTGAATTTCATGTAAAAAGAGAAACTGTATCTTCGCTTTCCATCAATGGCATAATAATGCAGTCTGCTTGTTGGTTGAATCTCAGAATATCACAAATCCTCATCATACTATATTATTTGATATGATAATTGTAACCAAATCGCAGAATGGATCTACTCAAAACACAGGTAGGAATGATAAGAAGCATCCACTGGCTTTGGAAACAAGGATTGGAAAATTGAATACAATACCACAAGATACATATAAGAAGCTGGAGAGGAGTTCACCATACACATCGTCAGTGGATGAACTATCATCTCATCTTGAGAGTCCACTAAATGGTCAAGCTTCTATTAGTTCTCATCATAGGTCAGTGACATCCCAAAAGCATGTTGTCTCGTCAATCAGTCATCGTTCTTTCCCATCTTTGGCACTTGATAATTTTGACGAAAATCCTAAGACCAGGACTGACAGCAGCTACTACGAGCATTTGAATCAGGAGTTTCAAATAAATGCTGATACAAGTGGAACTATAACTACAGATTCTCAATTAAACCGCAATGAATACACTTCTCATGGCTATCCTAGCAACGCAGCATCTCCAGATAGTAATCACTATGAGGGAAAGAATCCTGGCACTGCAAGCAAGGATGATTCTGAAATCAACGACAAACTTTATAAGGGATGTAAGGAAGCTGAAAATTATCATGTGGAAGGCATAAGTGATAAATCTTACCGTACTTCTGTTGAGGATAAACATGAAAATGAAATTTCTGATTTGTATAAGCAATGCCACGTGACGTCAGATGAACAATCTGTAACTGAAGGTGTCAAAGATCAAATCTCATTGAGTGCAACTGCATATAATGGGACAAATATTGGTTCAAAAGGCCATAGTCTGAAAAGTGAAAGATTAAATCATGTAAAGTCTGTAAGGTCACCGACAGACTCAACACTGAGTACAGGATCACCTGGCAGCAATCATCATGCTGAAGTGAAGGGTGCTGGCATGGTTGGAGACGCACAAAATAATGGAGGGAATATCAGAGTCAGTGACAAAAAAGATTCCAAGGTTTATCCAAAAGAAGCAAGGGGTTCAGTTTCAGACAGTAAAATCAATCTTTTGGAAAGCAAGATAAAGATGCTTGAAGGAGAGTTAAGAGAAGCTGCGGCAATAGAGGTTGCTCTATATTCTATAGTTGCTGAGCACGGAAGCTCCATGAGTAAGATATATGCCCCAGCTCGGCGCCTTTCTAGGCTGTATTTTCATGCTTGTAAAGAAAATATTCAAGCAAGAAGGGCTGGGGCTGCTAAAAGTGCCGTTCATGGACTAGTACTCGTTGCAAAGGCGTGTGGAAATGATGTCCCAAGGTACACCTGAGCTAAACATATTTTCTATTGCATATAATTTTAAGCATTTTCCCGCCAACCTGTTGAAATTTGTGCTAACAGTGAGGCTAAGAAGTGATCATCATCCACTTATTTCTATTTATAATATTACTTAATATAATCATAAATACAGAAAACAGAAACGGAAAATAAACTATCATTAATAACTAATTCTCTGGATAATGGTGAGGGAGGAAAGATTACATAGTATCATTTATCCTTTAACACATCATATCATGAATTAAGTTAACATTTTGATATATTTTGTAGTTCAAGCATCAAAACTAATTGCATCGTCATAAAAAGTTAGAGGTCAGTAAAAATGATATTGCCTTTGATCAGTTAATTGAGAAAACAAGGGGATTCGTCAGCTTAAATAAAGTTTCCTTCATTATTTGCTAAGCTTGCCTAGATGGCTCTGTCAAAATACTTACAAAATGAGACTTAGCTTAATTTAAACTTTACAAATAATTAGATATAAGATCAAATGGTGAATGCAGTAGATATCTTGCCAACGGTCCTATCTAATGAGTCAGAGTAGTGGTTAGAGGTTGATGAACTGATATGATATTTTGCTAGTTCTTGCTACATTAGAGAAATTATATCTTCATCATAAGCTCTACCACCTGATTGACCTCTGGCACCCGACTACAGGTTGACATTTTGGTTGTCTAATTCTATTGTGTTGCGAACAATTATATGCCAAACCATAAAAAAAGTGGTACCCTCTGCTACTGCTGGACCTAGTGTCAAAAGGAAAACTGGGAAAGAGGGGAATGACAAGATAACTCTCTCGTTGCGATGGAAGGGATCCTCTCCCAGAAAAAATGAAAATACCACTGTTGAGCAAGGAGGTTTTGGTAACTGGGATGACCCCCTTGTATACATATCAGCACTGGAAAAGGTAGAAGCTTGGATCTTCTCTCGCATTGTGGAATCTATCTGGTGGCTGGTAATCCCTTAACTATTTTCTCCTTCAAAACAACCCTAAAGCAGCATTCTAGATCTGGTTAAATATTACAAAATCCTGTTGGCATCTAATCCGAGTTCTTCCTGGTCTGTATCCAGACTATGACTCCACATATGCAACATCGTGGTGATGCAAAGTTCACCAAAAACGGTGCAGGCTCTTCCTCATGGAAAACCTTTGGAAAGTTGTCTAGCTCGCGTGATCACGAACAGGGGAAGTTTTCACAAGATATTTGGAAGAATGCTTTTAGGGAAGCCTATGAAAAGCTGTGTCCCATTCGAGCTGGAGGGCATGAGTGTGGCTGTTTGCCAGTGCTATCTAGACTGGTTAGTCTATAATTTTCCCCCTCTACGATGGTGTCGAAACGTATTTCTATTATTCTTTCTTTTTTGGTCTATTACTGTTCCTGATTTCAAAATTCTCTTCTTCTATGGAATTTAATACCTGAGATTCCTGGTAACAAGTGAATCTTTAATAGAAACTGCTCCTTGAAATCTTGAGTTAGTGATAATGACCGTCATGAGGGTTGCCTCTTTTATATCTGGTCCAATCTTTGATTCAGTTGAATCAGGATGGTTGACTTGCAAGTTACCTTCATGCTTATGATTTGTGCAAATTGCTTAATATGTAATTACTCACAAAGCTCCTGACCTGCAAGTCTCGAACATGACATCAGAAAGCTTTTCTTTTGCTAAATCTTAGATAATGGAGCAGTGTGTGGCAAGATTAGATGTGGCTATGTTCAATGCAATTCTTCGTGAATCTGCTGATGAGATCCCAACTGATCCATTATCTGATCCAATTAGTGATCCCAAGGTTCTTCCAGTACCCCTTGGAAAATCAAGCTTTGGAGCCGGTGTGCAGCTAAAAACTGCGGTATATTTCTCATGCACTTGCGTGACCTTCAATATGACTCACATAAACCTGAAAATACAAGTTCAATTCATGTTTTTCTTTCTACGGATAATTTTATTCATCTTGAATGTGGCTCTATTAATAGACCAACAGTATAGCTGATGAGAGGGCTCCACATAAATTATTCCATATAATGTTGAAAGTGCATTGACTCATGACGTTCTTTTGACCTGTGGGCTGTACTTTCCAGATCGGGAACTGGTCTAGATGGCTTACTGACCTATTTGGTATTGATGAGGACGACTCACTTCAAGACAACGATGACCTTAATGATGGGGAACAAAATGCACCTTTCAAGTCCTTCCATCTTCTTAATGCACTGAGCGAACTCTTGATGCTTCCTAAGGATATGCTACTGGGTACATCTGCCAGGAGCGAGGTTTGGTGATGAACTTGAGATGTTCCTAGTTTTCTCCATTATCGTAACTGCAAAGAGTTTCCTTCCTCAGTCATGATGAAAGGAATTTTGTTTGTGAAGGTATGCCCGATGTTTAGCGCACCAGTAATCAAGAGGATTTTGAACAATTTTGCACCAGATGAGTTTTGCCCTGATCCAATTCCAACTGCCGTTTTTGAAGCTCTGGATTCAGAGGTTAGATAAACAAATATGCACATTGTTTTCTTGATAATTCACTTAATGTCGTGATGAATTTCCTCCTCACCGTAGAGTATATTTCATGGAATTTATTTGAAATCTTTTTTTCGATCTTATACAGGAGGACCTCGAGGACGGTGGGGAGTCTGTCAAAAACTTCCCATGCATTGCGACTCCCATAGTCTATATGCCTCCCCCTGCATCTTCCACAGCAAGCATAATTGGAGAGGTTGGAAGCGAAACTAAGCTGAGAAGAAGCAGATCTTCGGTTCTCAGAAAGGCATACGCCAGTGATGATGAGCTCGATGAATTAAACTCTCCACTGTCTTTGATATCTAACGATGGTTTCATGTCTAAGCCACATTCTACAAAATCCAACTGGAAGTCGAAAGAAATTCAAAATTCATCTGCTGTCAGGTATAAACTCCTCACGGATGTATGGGCCAACAGCGAATAATCTCGCGGAGTCTGCACAGCGATGATACTCTCTGGCTGCTCCCTTTCTGGGAGGGACATCACTTGTACAAAAGAAACGGCGATATCCCCTTTGCCACATCAGATATAAATTCGTAACATAATGTATATTAATATTATTTAGACAATCACGACGTATAGCTTAGTACATAATATAGGGTCCTAGAGGCCAGAACAGATATCTGATAGATTGAGGTGTTTTTATCCAACACACGCTTGTTTCTAATTTTGTTTAATAACAGTTTGTCCCGTAATGGAAATGCAGAAAGTCTTCAGTAGAATCGAATATCAATGGTCGTATGATTTATTCTAAAAAGAAAACGACTGCAAGTACCACCAGAAGTTGAGGCATTGACCCAATAGACAGCTATCGCATCTTTTGCTAGTTTAGCAATCTAGTTATAAGCAAGCCTGAAATTAATGGACTGAAAAATTAAGAACCTGATTGAGGATGCTCGATAATAAGATATCTGGGATATCTTATCCTCCTCGGCGTTCGCCTGGCTCGAAAGTAATTAACGAACAGAGTCAAGGGGGAAGATATACTGGTCCGCCACTAGCGTGCATTCTGATTTGAGTGGGCGCTTGCGAGAAAGCAGACCGGCACAGAACAGTTCAGATCCTCGGAACCCAAAAGCCATCGTCACATAATTATTGGACGGCATTGTCACCCAAAATTAACGAGCTGAAAAAAAGCGCACAGAACCAGAAAAGAAGATAACATGCTCACTTGTAAAATATAGTGGTCATACAGGGCCGTATTCTGTGCCTTTCTTTACTTTAGGCAACATACCAAGGGTATAGTCTCGGTGTTTTCCAAAATTTAAAAAAAAACGAATAAAGATACGAAACAAAACTTGCGGAAATTATTAAAAAATTTCCGATTAACTCTGGCTCTCATATTCACAAGTACTAGAACGCCGCGAAGGAATGTGAACGATGGGTGGAAGAGTGATGGCCCATTAGGCAGTCAACTTCTGTGTAGAACTATTAGCATTAATGTGCTGAAGATGTAATGCAGCCAGAAGCCCCTGCCAGGTTTCTCCAGGTCCACCGGCCACTTCAAAATTAATAAGCTTCTCCTGCTTACAGTAGTAATCTTCCAACGGCTTGCTCTGGAAAAGACAAACAGCACTAATGATTAGACGCAGTTACTCATAATAGAACCAAATGTAACTGATATCTAACTGTAACTTCTAGAAAGGAAGAAATGGTTATTGTCACCTGTTCTCCAAGGTGGCGGAAATTTTCTTCACGAGAACTTCCCCAACGGGATTTTAATTGTTCATCCTGCAACTGCTCAGATGGAGTACCGCAGCAGCTCATTTGTATATACTCCTGACGGGGTGTAAATTTTCCACTTTCCAGGTTTTTCTTCGCGGAGTTTTCTTCCAAGCATTTGAAATTCACAACCAAATCAACATGAACAACATGAACAATTTGATCAAGAA